GATTTCAATACTTTTTATATTGTTAAGGTTGTTTTATGGCCCAGAATGTGGTCTGATTTGAGGAATGTTCCACAGGTGTTTAGAAAAAAAAATGTGTATTGTGATGGTGTTGGGTGGAATATTACATTTCTGTTAACTAACTCCTGTTGATGGATGGTAGTGTTCAGATCCTTGATATCCTTGATTTTTATTAGTTTCATCAGTTGCTGAAAGGAAGGCGTTGAAGTCCTCAGTGATGGCTGTAGATTTGTCTGTTTCCCTGTCCAGCTCTATCAGGGCGTGTGTGTGTTTTCATGTATTTTGAGGTTCTGTTGTTTGGTGTGCACACACTTTGGATCTTTATGTCTTCCTGGTGGATTGATTCTTATATTGTTATGTTATGTTCCTCTGTCTTTAGTAATTTTCTTTCCTCTGGAGTCTACCTTATCAGATATTAATATAGCCACTTTTTAAATTAATGTTGGCAAGGTCTATCTTTTTCTATTATTTTTCAACCTACATACGTTGTTGAATTTGAAGTAAATTCTTATAAGTATCATGTAGTTGAGTTGTATTTTTTTTTATCCACTCTTTTAATTGATATGTTCAGACCAGCGATTTTCAACCTTTTTCATCTCATGGCACACTTCATAAACTAATTACTAAAATTCTGTGGCACACCAAAAATAGGTATAATTTTGATTCAGTCACACCGATGGCTATTGTGTTGGCTGTTGCCATTTTTTTATTTGACAATCTAAAGGAAAAGAGGTCAGTGTCCCTGACTAAATAGTCAGGTATTGCATGTTTTAAAATATTGTGTGACACACCAGTTGAAAATCACCAATTTAGACCATTTTCATTTAAGATAATTATTGCCAGATTAGCACTTATCCTGTTTGGAGTTTGCTCAGGTTCTTGTGTCTGTAAGGTTGTGTCATTCACCAAATTTGAGAAAAATGCTCAGCCATTTTTCTTCAAATACTCTTTCTGCCCCAGCCCCACTCTCCTCTCTTCTAAGACTCTGAGGATATGAATGTGGGGTCTTTTGTCATTGACCCACAGGTCGGTAGGTTTTGTCCTCATTCAACGAGTATCCTGTCATCTCCACTCTAATATTGAAACTATCCAGCAAGTCTTTTATTTCTGTTACTGTATTTTTCAGTTCTAGTATTTCCATTGGTTCTTTTTTTGTAACTACTATTTCTTTGCTAAGAGATTTTCTATATTTTAGCTTATTTCAAGGGAATTTCTAATGACTCATTGCAGTTTTAACACAGATGCTTAAAAATTCGTGTAAACATTCATCTTGTCCTCCATTGATTGTCTTTCCACATTCAAGCTGTGCTTTTCCTAGCTCTTACTCTGGTGGGTGGTTGTTATTTTGTCTGTTGTGTTAGGAGACTCTAGTCTAGGTCCTATTTAGATCTTCCGTTTTTGCAGGCATCACCCTTCTTGGGTTAGCAGGTGTGTTTTGGTCTGCTTTTGTGGTTTTGAGGGCAGGATGATTTTCAGCAGCTTTGCAGGTTTATTCTGGGCCACGTGGTTTACCCGGTGCTGCTGGGGCTTCTGTTGGTCCCTGCAGGTGCTACCTGAGGGCAGGTAGGTATCTCTTGGTGGAGGAGGGGTGTGGAGGTCCCCCAGCTGGTCCTCCCAACCCACCCTCTGCCCTGGTGCCTCTGGATGGGGAGGAGTATTAGGCCAAAGGGATAAAGAGGCTCCTGGGTCAGCCCACCCCTACAGCTGGATTTCTCCCTCAGGCTCAGCCCCCATTCCCTCCATCCGCCCCCTACCCCCACCTACCCCACCCCGTGCGTGCAGTTACCTAGATAACTCTTGGAAAAGGGGAGTCTCAGGCCTGTGTGGAAGGAGAGTGCCTCCCCTCTCCCCTGGGGCTTATTTCTAGCTGGGCTCCTATGGATCCCCGTTGCCAGGGGGTGGCATGCTCACCAGAGGGACCCCATTCTCTAGAGAGGAGGAGTGAGCCCCTGGTCTGCCTTCTGTCGCTGGCTCTCCTGTTGCTGCTTCTACTCTAATTCCTTCCTTGTCTCACTGTCCCCAGCTTTAAGAAAGGTACCTGTCTCAATGTCACCTGGGCTCACATGAGATCTTTCCTGCACAAAGTCAAGAACCCACACACTGCAGGCCAGCCTTGGGCAGACCTGCTCCAGGCTGGTCCCCATCTGGTGACAGTGATGTTTAAAACCACTGTCCCAGTCATAAATCTCAGAGATCCACAAAAGGTTTCTCAGAGGGTGTAATATAATCAGTATGAGGTACTACAGTGACTGTTGTGGACAAAAGGGGCCACATGCTAACCCGACAAGCTCAGGGGAGGCCTGCATGGCAGTCTTGCAAACTCAGAGACCTAAAGTAACCATAAAGGATGGTCTGAAATTAAAGTTAAACTAAAAGCAGTTATGGTGGGTAGTTATGTCCCAGGCCAGTATCTTCACTCACTGACAAGGTCAACCTTTACCTTAACTGAGCCTATCTGTCTTTTTGCATCGATAATAACATACCAGGCACAACAAATGTCACCATGACATTCCCTCATTGTTATTGCTATCAAATTAATTGTCAACTGTTAATTATGTAAAACTCTCCTGTATTCATCTATGCAAAAGAAGCACATGTCCATCATTTCACTTTTTACCCAATCCCAGAGGTTTCTCCCCACTTTGCTTTCTCCCACCTCCTTAACCTATCACCAATGAATTTCATGTAACCCACCTACATCCTTCCTTTGATTGCAATGTATAAACACAGATGTAATCTGCCATTCTCTGGAGCATTATCT